CCTTAGGGTATGGAAGAGTAAGAGAAGATGATGAAGACAGTGACGATGACGGCTCTGATGAGGAAATAGACGAGTCTCTGGTAAGGTACTATTCCCACCATGTTTTAATGTATAAAGTTCAGGGCCAATAGCTTAAGTGGATTTTGTTTTGCTTTGTTTAGGCTGCTCAGTTCTTAAATTCAGGCAACGTAAGACACAGGCTGCAGTTTTACATTGGAGAACATTTGCTACCATATAACATGACCGTGTACCAGGCAGTACGGCAGTTCAGTATACAGGCCGAAGATGAAAGGGAGTCCACTGATGATGAGAGCAATCCTCTAGGAAGGGCTGGTATCTGGACGAAAACGCATACAATATGGCAAGTCTGAAAATGATTTTGTTTGGTTTTTCATCAGAATTGATACTGTTTGTGTGTTTTGGAATTCCTGTTACTCACTGGCTTGCATCAGGAGTGCATAGAGGAGACCCTAAATCCTATGTTTTACTATTAAAAACCACTTCAAATGTTTCATCGTGTGTGTGTGTGTGTGTGTGTGTGTAACTTCCTCATTAAGTCTACTTGAAAACGTATTTGGGTGATAAATAATAATTTGCATCTACTTTTCTAGTAGCTTGATTTCAAGTCTTTGAGTAAGACAAAAATGTCTTAAGATAATGTCATAATTTTCCTTTAGGTAATAGGCCAAGTTTGGCATCTCTGAGCCTTCAGAGGCATTTGGGTGCAGCCTCTTGCATTGCTGATGAATGTCTACTACTTATTTAAAGAGAGTGATTCTTCTCAGAACCATCCTCTGCCTCCCCAGGAGGGGGCCCCTCCTAGAATGGTGGTCTTTAGGTGGTCTTTTCTAGGAAGCAGCTTCATTGGTAATTCTCCACATCCACAGCCAGGGAGAGAGAGGATGGACCTCAGAGAGTTGTTCTGGTAACTCAGTGGTGTCTGTGGCTTGCGCTTTGGCCTTGTAGAATAATTTGCAATTTTAAAGTCTACTTTTGGTTTACATACTCTCCTGTTATTTTAGGTACAAACCCGTGAGGGAGGATGAAGACAGTAATAAAGATTGTGTTGGTGGTAAAAGAGGAAGAGCCCAAACAGCTCCAACAAAAACATCCCCTAGAAATGCAAAAAAGCATGATGAGTTATGGAATGGTAAGTTGATACGTAAAGAGGAAAACAGATTGCATGGGGCAGTAGTCCTCCTGTCTTCAAGGTTTGAAGGAGTGATTTATATCTAGTAGTAAAATGTTTTAATATAATTTATAAAAAAAATTACTACGAATGTTTGGTTGCTTTTAATTAAGCCCCTGACTTTAATATCTAGAAAATGAAAAATTAAGTATCTGCGAAATTAAATTTGGAAGGAAAATTGGGGAAAACTTACGAAGAATTCATACTTCCATGAAAGGTAAAACAAATTCATTAGTAGAACATATTCACTAAAGAGACTGGTCATTGGCAGATTGGCCCTTAATTTTTATTGTCCTTATAATAGTATGATCTAACAATTATAGGAGTAAAAAGTTTTCCCAGGTAATAACTACAGAAAGTAGTCATACCCCTTCAAGTGACTTACCTTCTTTTGGAGTATTCCCTTAGTCTAATTTTGCTCATTTCTTCCCCCTCTTTTTTATATGATGGTAACAAAGTCTTACCGTTAGACTGTGTTCCTTGGGGACCACCCCCTCTATCGGGGGTTTTCCCAGGATTGGTCGTGGTGATGAGATTTTCCCTGTCCACAGAAATAAGGGTATTGTAGCAGGTTTGTTTTTGTTTTGTTTTTTTTTTGTTTTTTCATAAAGCTGAGTTTGTTCTGTATAAAAGGGTCTTTATTTTGAGGTATGTTTCTATGTTTTTGATACTAAAATTTGCCCTCTCTTTTATGCAGGGATAGTGTTGTGATTTTTAATTTCTTTGCTTGGTAAAAGTAAATGACAAAAGTTTCAATCCCTTACTTTTTGTTGTTGTTCTTTTGTGTTTTTAAAGCTGTTACTTTATGAAATCTAAAACCAAAGGAATTGCAGATTCTGGCACAGTCTGTCATGTCCTAAGCCTTGGATTAAATAACCAAATCTCTTTGATCAGATGTACAACTGGGGAGTATTTGTCTATCTTATATGGCCATTTTAAGCTGGATATGAAAAATCCAAGAAATTTCTGTAACACGTGAACTTAAATTTCAACATTCTGTCTTTACTCTGTTCTGGCCATTTTTTGTTAGCTGTTTTTCTGCCCTAAAGGAGAAATGCAATGGAGTCAGTTTTTCTCCTTTGTAATATATGGGTATGGGAGGGAAAATGAATTTGTAAGCCTGGATGATTTGTCTATATGATAAAAAGGAAAAAAAGATGTTCAAGCTATCAGTACTCTACTAATAAGATACCAGGCGTTAAATCTCAGTAGCACTTGTGATTGCTATTTTAAGCGTGATGAGGTGACACTGTCTCCGTTGGCTTCGCCTTTCTAACTTTGATCAACATTTAACTTTGATCTCCTGCCCTCTAGATGGAGTGTGCCCATCAGTATCAAATCCTTTAGAAGTTTACCTCATACCCACACCACCTGAAAATATAACTTTTGAAGACCCGTCATTAGATGTGATTCTTCTTTTAAGAGTTTTACATGCCATCAGTCGATACTGGTATTATTTGTATGATGTAAGTAATGTTGCTTAGTTTTAAATTTTTCCCTGATGTCTTGTTCATTACATGTAATCTCATAGTTTCTGTCTAGTGCTTGACCAACTTCCTGTTGTACTAGAAGCAGAAACAGTGATTCAGCTGAACAGCAGGGATCCTAGCCCAGTGAAGCACAGTATACTCATCAATGGGAACAACTTTTTTTTCCTGGACCATGTTCTAGGATTAGTTCTCTTGGCAGACTTGTAAAATATTCTCTAGCTATAATTTATAAAAGTAAGCTACAGCATAAAAAACTGAATGTGAATTTATTATAGTTAAAAAATCTTAGGTACGTTTAATTAAAAGTTCATTTATTTAAGTTAAGATGTATATTAATTAGAAGTCCGGTAAAAGTTGAATGCTATCTTCAATACTTACAGAATGTAGGGAAGAATGAAAGAGATGGTCTTGTGTGAAACATTAGCTGCTACATCAGTTGGCACCAGAGCTGGTGCCAGTGGCATGTGGGGGGTTAGGGTGTTTCAACCATGCACTGTAAAAATTGCCATTGTGGTGGGAAGGGTGCGGGTCAGTGGTACAGCACGTGCTTAGCATGCACGAGGTCCTGGGTTCAATTTCCAGTACTGCCACTTTTTTAAAAAAATTGCCATTTGGGTTGGAACATACAGTGAGAAGGTGTAGATATGTTGGAAACCAGCGGGTGAAATCTAGGCAGTCTGTATACATATTTGGGAATAAAAGAAGAGATAGTGAATAAAATCCTAGTATTTTACTACATAATAGACTTTTTTCCTAATATTTTACAGAATGCAATGTGCAAGGAGATTATCCCAACTAGTGAATTTATTAACAGTAAGTTGACAGCAAAAGCAAATAGGCAGCTTCAAGACCCTTTAGTCATCATGACAGGAAACATCCCAACATGGCTCACTGAGCTAGGAAAAACCTGGTAAGACCCCCACTTCTGTAATGTTGGCCTTGGGAGAGTTATCACTGTGTTGGTGTTTATTTATTTCTATACAAAAATATAGTCTTTAGTGAACCTATTTAAATATGTTGAGTTAACATTGTCATTTTTGATCATAGCTTGCTTAATAGTGTAGATTTAGCGTCCAAACCGACTAGGTGAAGGTGGCGGTTATAGCTCGGTGACGGAGCACATACTTAGCATGCACGAGGTCTTGGGTTCAACCTCCAGTGCCTCCATAAAAAAATAATGAAATAAAATTTATGGAAAGAAAAAGGGATGAAACAGACTAGGTGAGCTGCAGCTGGTCTAGTACCAGTCTGCTTGATCGTATGTGTGTATGTATATGAAATAGGAAGAAACACAAAGATATTTGTCTGAGGAGATTCAGTCCTCTGCCATCATCGGACTGGACTCCAAAGATGGAGCTGGTTGTTCTCTGAGTCCATTTGGGCCCAGCCTTCATCCTCTGAGACTCTAGAACTACACTGTTGAATACAGTGGCCACTAGCCACATGTGGCTATATTTACATTTAGATGAATTAAAATGAAAGAAAATTAGAAATTGAGTTTTTTAGTCACACTACCCACGTCCTCACGTGGCTACCTGAATTGGACAGGATAGATATTGAACGTATGGACCATTACAGGAAATGCTCTTGGTAGCTCTGTGTCAAGAAATACCAAAATCATACGTTAGGAGGCAGCAGGACCTGTGATACTGCAAAGTTCATTCTTTGAAAATAAGCCTTTTGGCAGTTTTGAGTGACTTACAAGTGCCAGAATGAACTTAGTAAAACTGTTACTTGGGTGTATGTGGAATGGGGTGGTTGGCAACCTGGTAAGGTGGTGATTGTATTTTAAAATTTAGCCTTCACTAGTCGTGTTATACTTACTAAAGGTCTTTGGGCAGATTAAAGATCATCGTGTATAGACTTGATTTTAATGGTTGAATTTCACATTTCATAGTGAATGGCTGCTTAATACATTATTACTTGTTTACTAAGAAAGTGAATGCAAGAATTGTGAAAATTCTTCAAAATTAGTTTGAGTAGACCATTTTTATTGATTGTATTTATAATTATTATTTTGAATTGTATCAAAAGTTGTTTCTAATATAGGGTTTTTTTTTAATAGTTTCTGATTCTAATTCAGATAATAAATTTATATTGCATCTTTTTACAGCCCATTTTTCTTCCCTTTTGATACCCGGCAAATGCTTTTTTATGTAACTGCATTTGATCGGGACCGAGCAATGCAAAGATTACTTGATACCAACCCAGAAATCAACCAGTCTGATTCTCAAGATAGCAGAGTTGCACCTAGATTGGATAGAAAAAAAGTAAGTTTCTCCCAAAAGTATTTAAAGATAAGTTAAACTGAGGTTTTCAAAATAATAAAACTAGAAATGAGGAGCATCTAATTATCCCTGTTCATTTAGAGGCTTGTCTTAGTCACAGTCATCTCTTCCCTTATCTTTTATCATCTGTGTTGCTTCTCTTTTTATTACCTGTGTTAGCCGTATTGCCCTGTGAATTTCATGGGCTCTCTTCTTTATCCTCCAGTAAGAGTCCTTTCCCCGCAGTTTCTGTAATGATTTCTACAGTTGTTTTTCTGTTGTAGTCTCCATAACTCCAAGAAAGAATCTTCTTTTACTGAGGCTTCCTTCCTTTTCTTTCTAAATTAGAACTCAAAGTATATCTCCCTTTTGTAATTGATCCTTTATGCAGTAGGTAGAATTAATCAGACCCACTTCATTCCCTTAACAAAATCCTTGATGTATTTCATGTCTCTAGAGCAGTCAGCCCTGGTGCTGCTGACTTCATCTTGTGCTTCTAATCTTGGCTCCACATTGATAGCTCGAAACCACACAGCCCCGGGCCATTTCCATCTGAGACCAGACCTACTCTTCTGACACTGCTCTGCCTTATACTTAGGACTTCTCTGTTCATCTGAGGATTCTTATTCATGGCTGTAGTCCTAAAGACCTTATCTCCAAAAGTCTCCCATTAGTAATGACATAAAAAGGGGAAGTGGGAAGAATGAGAAGCAAAACAAAACAAAACAAAAAACATTGTATTTAAAGCCTCCTGTCTTTATTTGTATCATTTGGATTTCATAAACAAGGTGTTGGCAGCATTTGAAAATCTACCAAGATCTTTCTCATCACCACGAGTCTCATTAGTAGATGTCTGCAGTAGTGCTTACAGGATCTGTGCAGGTCAGAGCCCGTAGGTTCCAGCTCTCCTGTCACCTCCACACCCATTTCTCCATCGTCCGACTATAAACGTACCCAGCGAGATTTCCTGGAGCTGCACCCCGAATTGCATTGATGTTTGACAAGGTTACAGAGGTCTTTTCTTTTCCAACTTGAATTTTCTGAGTTTGCCGTGGGCTCAAGATGATAATCACACTCACATCTAGCTTTTCTTCATGTTCACCAGGATGCTGCCGATTTCTGAAACACTACAGCTTCTTCTTAGACCTTTTTCTGAGATGTGCTTTTTTTAAGAAATAATTTTTAACAATTGAATTGATTTTTTTTTTTGCACTGAGAGAAATAATGCTGTCTGTTTATTAAAGTTTCCTCACATGTGTACTTTGACTTTGCAGCGTACTGTGAACAGAGAAGAGCTGCTGAAACAAGCGGAGTCTGTGATGCAGGATCTTGGCAGCTCACGGGCTATGTTGGAAATCCAGTATGAAAACGAGGTGAGCTTCTTAGTCTCTTTGACAGTTTTTAGCTTGACTTGTACTCTTGATGTCACTAGAGCTTCTTGGTGCTGTGAAATTCTACAAGACAATTGGGAAATTTATCTCAAAACTTGGAATCTACTCTATTCTTTATTGAATGATTTGTTCTAAGTTCTCCATCTTTTAAGCTTAAATTGCATGATAAAAGATGGGTTTTTTTCCCCCTACATAAGAGCAAATGTTTGTGTAATCTTTAGGCTGATAAAGTAAAAGGTTTTAAACATAACTTTCAAAATGTTTAAACTGCATTTTTTAAAAAATGAATACAACTCACATAATAAATGAACACTCCTAAGATACACAGTCTATGAGTTGACAGATGTTTGCATCCTGTACTCACTACAACATCGAGATAAAGATCTCATCACCACAAGGAGTCCTTTTAGACCACTTTGCAGTCAGTCCCCAGCCCCTGGCAACCACGGATCTGTTTTCTGTCCCTACAATTTTGGCTTTTCACGATATCATAATAAATGGAATCATGCAGTACATAGCCATTTGTGTTCTCTCCTTTCACTGAGTGTAACGCTTCTGAGGTCCATCCAAACTGGTGCGTGTATCAGTTTGTTTCCTTTTACTACTGAGTAATAGTAATGGTCCCTTATGGACTTACTATCATATGTTTATCTAACCATCAGTCGATTTGCATTTGAGATGTTTCCAGTTTTTTATGCTTAATAATGCTGCTGTGAACATTTGTGTACAAGTCTTTGTGTAGCCATATGCTTTTATTTCTCTTGGGTAAAAAACTTCAGGGTTGAATTGCTAAGTTACTTGGTAAGGTATGTTTTGACTTCATATGAAACACCAAACTGTTTTCCGAAGTAGCTTTCCCATTTTTCTTCCCACCAGTAGCATAGTACGTGAATTTCAGTTGATTCATGTGTTCGCCAACACCTGGTTACTGTCAGTCTTCTTAACTTTAGTTATTCTGGTAGATTTATAGTGATATCTGATTGTAATTCTAATTTGCGTTTCTCTGGTGATTAATAATATCTTTTTATTTCTTACTGCCCATTCATGTATCTTCTTTGGAAAAATGTCCAAGAATTCTGCCTACTTTTTCACTGAGTTTTGCTTTACCAGAGTTTTTTAGAGTTCTTTATATATTCTGGATACAAGTTCTTTATGAGATAAGTGTTTTGCAAATATTTTCTATTAGTCTGTAGTTTATCTTTTTATTTCCTTATGAAATATCTTTGAAAGAGCAGAAGTTGTTAATTCTGATGAAATCCAGTTTATCAGTTTTTTTTTTATTGGTTTATGCTTTTTGTATCCCAAGAAAATTTCCCTTAACCCATGGTCTCAAAGATTTTTTTCCTATGTGTTTAATAGTTTGAGGTCTTTTACTTTTTGGGGGGTGGGTAATAGGTTTGTTTATTTTTAGTTTTGGTTTTGATGGAGGTACTGGGGATTGAACCCAGGACCTTGTGCATGCCAGGCACACACTCTACCACTGAGCTATATCCTTCCCCACTCAGGTCTTAATTTAGGCCTATGATCCATTTTGAGTTAATTTTTATGAATAATACAAAGTAAGGATTAACAGTCCCCTCTTACCAAACATAGGCTTTTCAAGTTTTCCAGCACCATTTGTTTGAAAAGACCATGCTTTTCCCTGTTGATGTACCTCAGGTACCTTTGTTGGAAATGAGTTGATTATGAATGCTCAGGTTTGTTGCTGGATTTTCTATTTTTCTTTATTAATCTACACTCTCTTGATTGCTGGAACTTTATAGTCAGTCTTGAAATCAGGTAGTGTGAGTCCTCCAAGTTTGTTTTTTTTTCCCCAAAGTTGTTCTGGTTATTCTCAATCCCCTTGTATTTCCATATAAATTCTAGAATCAGCTTGTCAGTGTCTACAGACAGGATGTTGGTTAGGTTTATGTTGAATCTTGATCGGTTTGGGAGAGAATTGATGTTTTACAGTATTGAATCTCCCAGTCCATGCACACAGTGTGGCCTTTCACTAATTTAGGTCTGTAACTTCTCTCAGCATGCTTCATAACTGAAGTCTGAGGTCTCTCATGTACGTATTTTAATCAAGTTTGTTTCTGAACATTTCATGTCTTTTGATGGTGTTGAAAATAATATTGTTCCTTCTTTTCAATTTCCAGCTGATGTTAGTTGAGAGAAGTAAAGTTAGTTTTTGTATACTGACTGTGTTTTCTGTGACCTTGATAAATTTAATTGGTTCTAAAAACTTCTAAATAGATTATTTAGGATTATTGTAGACATGGGGCTTGGGCAACTTTTCTGTAAAGAGCTGGCTAGTAAATATCTCAGGCTTTGAGGGCCATCTGGTCTTCATCGCAGCTTCTTAGTTCTGCCTTTGACGCTTCAGTGAAGGTGGCCTAGACAATACAAACATGAACAGGCATGGCTGTGTTCCGATGAAACTTCATTTATGGTCACTGAAACTTGAAGTCATATAATTTTCACACATTGTGAGATATTTAGGAATTTTTTCAACCATTTAATAGTATAAAAACTGTTCTTAGCTTATAGACTGTACAAAAACAGGCAGTAGGCCTGAGCTGTAGTTTGCTGATCCATGTTGTAGACAATCATGTCATCTGTGAAAGAAGACAGCTTTACTTTTCTTCTGATCTTTTGGGATGCTTTTAAATAGCCAGGCCTGTACACCAAAAGATTCAAATAATAATGATTGTTCTATATATTATGACTCTGAAGTATTGAGTCTCCTGGGAATACTTTCCTTCCTCTTCCTCTTAATTTTTTCTTAAGACAAAACTTAAGTTTTTGGACTTTTGAAACTCTAATGGACATGACATTTCCAAGCATTCCATTATACCAATTATTTATTTATAATTACTAACAACCCTGCCCCTCAGTTTTCTTATCTATAAAATGTGAGTATAGTACAACCTCAAGAGTCATGACTGAGTTCGTATTGTGAAGAGTTAGAACAGCATCTGGCTCATGATAAATACTGTACAGGTTTAGCAGTTTAATCTACAATGCCATCTATAGTTAACCAAGTAATTTTAATCATGACTTTGGTCTTTTACTCATTTTCTTAAACGCTTTCTCCACCTTGTTAAGACTTCTGAGAAGGTAACAGCATTCAGTCATCAAATTGAAAAGTTTCAAGTAGCTGTGGACTGGGAAGTATAGAGTGTACTAGAGGTCCGGGTGATGGCAGAGTTGCTGCACTCGAAGGGTCACAGTGTAGTTGGGGAGGCACAGGACAGAGGTACGGATGGGTGTGGCAAGTGAGTGGTGTAGGTACCAAGTGAATGAGCCTTTCAGACAAGGAGCACTGTCCCAGGAATGTGTGAGGAAGGCCATGAGTTAGGCCTTAGTGAAAGAGAGGAGGAGAGTTAAGGAGCCAAAGAATGTGGCTTAAACAGGATCAGGCTTGGTGGTGAATAGCAGACAGAAGTAAATGCTCTGGAGGTGATGGGAGGGGAGGCAGATGGAATGGAGACTTTGAATTCTGGGATAAGAAATTTGGATCTTTTGAATATACCCTGATCATGCCTATTGCTCAGAGGATGCAGTTCTTATATGTTTACATGCCCAGATTTCTTATTCATAAAACTGTAAGACCTTTGCTCTAGCTAACTTGGTCTGCTTGGATATTTAAACATAATTTTTCTACTTTTTTTTTTCCTCCAACGTATTTTTCTCTTGCCAGGAATGTCTTTTTTCTCTCATCCTTCAAACCTCTGTTCAAAACTGCATCTTACATGAATCCTAAGCAGGTTCCAGAATAGCATCACACTTGATTGTTCCACAGGCCAGGATTGAATTGCTGATACAGAAATCATGATTTTATAATCTTCATTGATGGTTCTTACCTGATGACTCTGGGAAAGATTCCATGAGCTGACTTCATTGAGGAAGAGAGGTCAGGAAGAGTGCTGGCATTACATATGCATAGGGCCTTAGGCTGTAAACCAGATTCAACCATACAAGTTCAGCTGGTGGCCACCAGGAAGGCTTTCAGACTATCTCTAGAAGAGTCCTAATGCAAAATGTCAGAACAAAATGGGCTCCATTCTTGAGTAGAGATAATTGGTAAGCCAGCAAAAAAAAACTGAATTAATTTCTAGGCTCAGAAAACCACCTAAGCCCCCCAAGTTTGGGGCTTAAAATGACCCAGTCTCCAGGATGGTACAAGGTTAAGAAGATGGACTGTGGAGCCTGGTCCTGCCACTTAGAGCTGTGTAAAGTTGGGCAAGCTATGTAGACTCCTCAGTGATATCCCAATAAAGGGCATAATAAATGTGCCTCGTGTTGTTAGACTCATTAAATGAGCTAAAATATGTAAACACAGCATAACCTGTTACATGGTATATGTTAGTATATAAGCACTAGCTTTTGAAAGAAAAAGACTTCCTCTCAAAATTTTAAGTAAGACAAGTTGTCAGACTTATTTGTTTCTCTGGTTTTTTTGTTTGTTTTGTTTTGTTTCCCCTAGAGCTTTATGCTTTCCCTTTCTGAGGAGGAAGAAGACATTTTCCTCTATCCTTCTAGGTTCTTCTGGCTGGTCTCAGAAATTGACATGAGACAGATTAACAGGAGAAAATGAAACAAAGAGAGACCCAGGAGGTCTGAGTAACTCACCCAAATGGCTAAAGCCCTCATCTTAAATACCATCTTTAGCCACAGACAAGAAGTTGTTGGGGGTAGTGGTTTGAGATTTTAAAGGGGAGGAAGGCAGTTCACAAAGAGTCAGAAAAGCAGGTGTTTGCCTGGCCTAGCAAATATTTGTTTACCAGAGACAATGGGACACAGAGTGGACTCTGATCTCTAGGCCTGCTTTTCCCCCCACATACCTACCCATACTCTTTGCAGATACCTATGGTGATAGCTCTGTTCCAGGAACAAACCCTTTATCTAAGTTCTTTTAGGCAGTGAGAGGATAGGTCAAAGTTTTTTCCTGAGTCTTGGGCCTTGATTGTTTTTAGCTCTAAATAATTCGCATGCCAAAGAGACATTTTAGGGCGTGGATTTTGTATCCCTACATTCCTTTAAAAATAAATGAAGCAATACCAGAGTACTTGTCTTCTTCATGGAGTAGCTGGGGAGAATGAAGTTACCTGAAAAAATGAGGCTGATCTATGAGGCTGCTGACCAGCCCAGTGTAGGGGTCACTTGCCAGAGCTGATATGGCCTGGTCCTTCCACCCTCACAGAGACTTTCTGATGAAAGTGTTTACAGTGGTGCCCATGTCATTTACTATTTTAAGTCAAATCCGTTTTACCTTAGAAAATAACAGTATTTGGATGAAGAAAACAGGCTGTTCTCATCTATGATTTCTATGTAGCCTGGGATTATTGTGCTAAAAGGAGAAAGGATTTACTGGCTTTAAAGCACCATCTGGTGGATACCAGGAGTTACTGCAGTCTTGTCTTTTTGCCTCTTTTTTCTGCCTTCCTCCAATGCTTAGGATTCAGTGTAGAAAAAAAAATATACAAAATCCTTACTGTTCTGGAATTTTTCTTTTAGTTTGGAGAGGCCAGAACACACACAGACACAATGTACACACATATGTTAAAATGTATGCTGAAGAAAAATAAAGCAAAATAAGATAGAGCCAGAAAGA